GCAAACATGACTGGTTTTGAAGCACTGTGATAAACTAGGAGTCTTTCAATGATTTTTATACTTCAGTAAAAGCGATACCGATAATCAAGATAGATGAACATCATTCATTAAGGATGAATGGAAGGAATTAATTGCATGGCATTATGTAAATCTCATGAGATCATTTTGTGTACTTTAAGACAGGTTAAAAACGTGAAATGGAAATTGTTGATATCAAGTCTCTCAACTCTCAAATGGGTAACTTTCCAACTTACACTGCTTGGCGCTAGGAGATAGTTATGTAATATATGCTCTACATTTTAATCCCCAATATTTGTTATGAGTGCTTTAACTGAATTGAAATTCTTATCGTTTTTGGAAACTCTAACATCTTCAGAATACTGAGGTTAAGGAATTCAAAATGTTTCCATTTGGATAAAGGAGAAATCTGTCAATTTAGTTTGGGACATTCTATAAATATATGCAAGCTTCACCTAAATGTACCACAAATGGGTCTGTGGAACTCTTGCATGTAAAGATAGTGGGAAGTAGATATTAGCAATCCTATATTGATGCATACGTGGGAGATCACATCTCATTATGCCCAATACAAATATTCTCTTGTTGTGTAAAGCAGTTAAAGCGAAGGCACACACCTGTTGCTTAAAAATTTAGTTTGCTATTTAGTGAATTAGTTTGAAAATCTTTCTGATGTTTCATGCAGGGTTCCAATCTTGAATGGAGGTTCTCTAGTGATTGAACAAACAGAAGCTTTAGTTTCCATCGATGTCAACGGGGGCCACGGCATGCTAGGACAAGAGACTTCCCAAGAAGAAGCAATTCTTGAAGTCAATCTTGCAGCTGCAAAACAAGTATGGCCAAAGCTTAACCTTCACCACTCAGGAACCTGTGCACGGACATGGATGAAATACGCATTTTTTCCTCTTAAAACTTTATTATAAAAGGCAAGATATTACTGGAAGCGACTTTGATCAACTAACTGACCCCATTCCTAACTATCAAAGGCAGGCCAAATGATGATTCACTGAGAAGTGCTTGAAGTTGTTTAGTATAATGTTGTGCATCAATCGTAAAGCAGGCTGTTGCTTTTGAGAGATGATGTTCCTTTGTGTTTTACTAACTTCTACTAGTATCATGATGGTCCCAGTTGATGGGAAATACATTGAGAATCATATTTCTTTACTGACTTGCCCAACTGTAATGTCCTTGATATAGGCATTAGCTTGTGTATGACTTTGATGTCTAAACTACACAGTCATAATGCATTTGAATACAAGTGTCAATTATAGACTAACTTCTTATTCAATAAGGCTCATCTGATGCTGCTTGTTTCTGACAACTCCTCGATCTCTCTGTTAACCAGCAATGGCCCTCTCATTTGTATTAAAAGCTGTGGTAAGAAAAACGCAAGGCATGGTATGACAACTGGCAAAAAAACCATGAAAATTCTGCTCTTCAATTTTCCAAATGAATTCTAATGCTGCTGTCAGTCAGAAGAGTAAAAGATTTTCAGTATTCGCACATAAGTAGCTATCTATAGAAGTGTATCCTGTCACACTAACTACATTAACAATGTTCTTATACTTCCAATAGATGATTTGAAATATTTAAGCTTGAGGAGAACTCGAATATTAATGATTTTAAGTTTTTAACCGTCACTCGTAGTTCTAAAACATCTGACTGCCCTAACTGCTTTGGTCTAAAATGAGAGATCAAATTATCCGAGAACTTTCTACTCATGCATCAAATGGAATCAATTTTACAATTGATATATATACATAATTCTTCACATAGTGTAAATGTCAAATAGTAAAATTGCTATTTCTTTTATATTTTTCGTGTACAAGAACACTACTCTTCATATACCTAGTTAAGCTATATCTTTGTTTCAGATAGCACGTGAATTGCGCCTGAGGGATATTGGTGGCATCATTGTGGTGGATTTCATAGATATGGCTGATGAATGTAAGTAAATAATCTTTATAAAATTCTCCATTCATATTTAGGATATCAGCAGCAGTAGTTGGTCCTCACTTCTCACAGGGTAGCCAGATATCTACTTTGTAGTAAAATGTATGATGCACCTTGGCAAACGATCTTGTTACAGGGTAATTGTGACTGGGTGTAATATTATGGTTATTCCATGTATGTTGGAGCTGCTAGGTAGCTTATGTCATAGTGTGAACTTAGTTTTTTTTCTGTTCATCTATCGACTCCTCTTAATGACATACAATAAACTAACTGAAGAATGGGATATGAAAAAAGAATTGGTGAGCAGTTTGACCAGTTTTTTAAATAATCCGAGACTCTGGCAATGAGGGCATTCTATCAGAATGGTGTGACTACTGGAGGGAAGTCTTTCCAACTTACAAATAGTTTTACAAATTAGTTCTCCTTGATGGTATTGGATTTCCATGTGTTGACATTAGCCACTATGAGCAAGTGCTAAAAATGCAATACATTGCTGGTTAAGATGAATGCAGCCGAGGCACCTCCGGAATGTGGATTATACTGTGCACTGCAATTAACAACGGCAGCAATTACGTTACGAAGAAAACCTTCAATCTGAATGAAAGCATACATATGGAAGATATTCTATTTATATATGTTGTTAATACGCCTTATTAGTTCATTGTTGCAATTCATGTACCAATTAGAATATGTATTTCCTCAAAAATAGTATGGCTTAAAACCAGTTCTTAAGGTTGATTCCTATTTGTTGAAAAAGACATTGGCTGTAGAAGCCTTCATGAAACTGGAGCTGTTACTCATACTACATTTCTTGTATCTAGACTTTTACACCACTGGAAGCTTTTGAGTTTGAATATATGTAGCCAGAAATCTGAAGCTCTTTAATTATTATCAGTGAGCTGAAAATTCCTGATAAACTGATACTCTGTTTACTTATCTTGTCCCTGTAGCGAATAAAAGGCTAGTCTATGAAGAAATTAAGAAGGCGGTTGAAAGAGATCGTTCGACGGTGAAGGTTTCCGAGTTATCTAAACACGGGCTTATGGAAATAACTAGAAAGAGGGTAAGACTTTATGGATCATCTTAACGTTGAAATACCTTTGCATTCATGTGTATCTCTGCTTGGTATGTGGCCACATGCTCTTTTACAAAGCACTTGAAAAGAACAAGATAACTGCATAAAGCCAATCCCATGCAGTTTTGTTGAGACCTTATGGTTATCGTGATGTTTTAGGATGAACTTTGAAATGTGACCTCACAAGGTTTAGATACTGGTACAGGTTCGACCAAGTGTTACGTTCATGATCAGTGAACCATGCACGTGCTGTCATGCTACAGGGCGCATTGAAGCTTTAGAAACATCATTTTCAAAGATAGAGCATGAAATTTGCCGCTTTCTTGTGAGTATAGTTCTTCCAGTTCTTTCCAAAAAATAATTCCTGTCAGCTTGCATAGTATTTTTCCAGAGGTTTTGTATTCTGTTTAGGCAGTTTCTACACATCCTTGATACTTGATCTTCCATGAGGTAAATGTATGAATTTTTTAGAGGGACCTATTAAATAGTTGGCATGGTTGATGCTTCTAACTCAAATGCAACAAAATTGCAGAGAGAATGTGGCGTTGAGTGTAATATCATGTAAAGAAAGGAAATTAAAAGATTATATATTCTTTTCGGAGCATCATCCTTGGGTTCCATGACCAAATCATCAGAGTCAATGGTTTCTATCCTAAGCATCTCCTCATGTTGATTGGTCAGAGCTATGATTTTGCTGATGAATTCTCAGTCAGAATTTTGGAATCTACTTTTAATATGCTAAAGGCGTGCTTTTGGACATGACTTCGTATTGATATATAAATAAGATGTCAACATGAGATTCTCGATATCGTCTTTATCATTATTGGTTGGATCGTAGTTATCTCATAAAAATTTCAAAATTAAGTCATACTCACCTGTACCTTTTAGCATCTTAATTTTCTGGCTAAGAATTAATCCTACTTTGATCATCTTCCGCACAAGCTGTGAAGACCTTTATCCAACATTCAACGACTAAAATGTAAATAAAGTTTACAGTTCAAATTGTTGTCCAACTGTATGTCAAATCTTACGAATTTTTGAAGAATCTGTTGCCTATGTGCATGCATGTGTGTGCGCCTCTCTGACAGTATCTTGCAGGTGTACACTTCAATTCTCTGGAAATCGAAATGTGATATGAGTCATATTAGTGCAGCTTCATATGTCTAACCCCTACATTACTCCTCTAAGAAAATATAGATGTATATAAGTCCGAACTTAATTCAACCCTAATCAGTTTAAAGGAAACTCGCGATTAGTTGAAGATCAATGCTAAAAAGGTTATAGGATAATGATTCTCGTTTGGCGTAATGTTTGCACTTGTAAGATTAAAGAACTAAGACGATGTGGTCACGTACAATGAAGACCCATAGGCCCTGATAAAAAAGAATGCAAAAGAGTTGGAAATAATTTTACAAGCAAAAGGTTTTCGTGCTGCATATTATTTGCATCAGTTATGGACACATGAGGAGAATTCACGGCTTGACCATGGGGCAAAAACCTGAGGAAGCCCCAGTAAGAATGGTTGGGGATGGACACAAAAGAAAGGATTTTATATCACCTTGAGATGATATCCATATTTTCTCGTAAACAAATAAAGATTTGTGAACAAGGCCTCAATCATGTGCTTAGATTGTATAACACATAAACTCTGGTCCAAATATTAATCTAACAGAACATGAATTTTGCATATTCTATTGTTAATTTTTGCATATGGTTTATGACAGTACCATTTCCATAAATTTCCATGGCCTCAATCATGCGCTTAGATCATATAACGCATAAACTCTGGTCCAAATATTAATCTTACAGAGCATGGATTTTCATATTCTATTGTTAATTTTTGTGAATAAATTCTTTGTGAACAAAACTCCTGAGATATTATTATTTCTAAAAGAATTCCCTTCGTTGTAAAAAATAAACACTAGATATTTTGTGAATAGCCGTCCATCTTTAATTTAAGAGGACATTCAAAAGTTGAAGTTTATTAGTAGCAAACATTAGACTGGAGTCACTCTTATAAGCTCAAATAACCCTTAAAATGGCACTGCTCATGTTTTATATTAGTAATAGAATGTATATACATTATATCTGGATTATGTTTGGAGCTGATATTGGATAGAACGATACGTCAATATTCATATTTGCTTCAGCTATAAGCTGATATGTAAATGGAACAGCTATATTAACAGATGTGGATGTGAAGTAGATTAGAAATTTTAAACATCTATCACACCCTACTAGTGTAGTTAAGATCCATCAGTTTGCATTTGCTATTGGATGACCTTCTCTATCAGAATTGTTCAAATATCTTCTCCTTTAGTTGCAATAAACAATTTTTATTTCTCTCCCTTCTTTGTGGTCCGTCTCAATGAATAAGAAATTGTGGTGTCATGACAGTTGATGATATTAAATTCTCTGTTACTTGTCAGTTTGCTTTCTGAGGATAACAAGAGTTTTCTTTTGGCTGTATCAGGCTGCGTTGGATAAAAAACCTGATCCTGAGAATGCAAAATCTTGGCCAAGGTTTGTGTTAAGAGTTGACCGACACATGTGCAACTATTTGACATCAGGGAAGCGCACGAAACTGGCAGTCTTGAGTAGCTCTCTCAAAGTTTGGATTCTGCTAAAGGTATATATCTCTTTCATGCATGTATGCCTGTTGTAGTGTGCATGACCATTTATATTAATTGTTATGGGTCCAGTATAATATGACAGTCCACAGGCATACAAACAGGCTTCGAATGAAGCATATCAGTGTCATGAAGAAGATCAAGAAGATACTTCTGTTGAGATAGAACTAGCTCCTTAGAGGAACGAGCAACCTCTATCCCAAGAAAGTGCCATAAAACTCCAAGATCTTTTATGTGAAAATAAGAACTGAGATGTAGCCTCAAATCTCGAATGCCCTGATGATCATCTCCTAATATAACAATATCATCCACATACACAGCGAGAACAATAGTACTAGTGGTAGAATGCCACACAAAATGGAATAATCTGATACACAACGCTTCAAGCCATAGTTGCTAACCACCAAACTGAATTTATCAAACCATGTACGCGGAGATTGCTTCAATCCATAGATGGCGTTTTAAGGCGACAAACCTTAGTAGGCTCTCCCTGAACTTTATATCGTGGTGATTGAATCATATACACCTCTTCTTGCAAATCATTGTGCAAGAAGGCATTCTTAATATCTAGAGTGGCTAGTTTTTCATGATTGCAACAGATAACAAAATCCTCACTGAATGCAAGCGAGCAGTCGGTGAAAAAAATCTTAAAGTAATCTACGCTAAGGGTTTGAGTATTATCCTTTAGCAACTAGGCGAGCCTTTAATCGCTTTACCTTATCCGGTGGAGGAAATTGCATTGTATATACCCACCTACAACCAATTGTAATTTTTCTTAGCGGTAGAGCAATAAGATTCTAAGTTTCTTTAGAATGCAAGGTAGCAATCTCCTTATCCATTGCACTTTTCCACCCTGGATCAAAGAGACCTTCAAGAAAGGATTTAGGAGTAGACACAGAGGATAATGATGAGCCAAAAGCAGCATGAGGGGTGATAAATGACAAAGAGAGACAGTTTGCAATATGATTTTTCACAATACAAAATCATTTACCTTACCAAAGGGCAATGGGCAGATCATAATCATCAAAACTCCTCAGGAACAATAGCAAGATCTTCAGGCGAAGAAGTAGATTACGTAGAGTGGGTATAGTGGCAGATTATATACTTCTCTTATTGCAGTTCTGACAGACCAGTAACGGTTTCATTGGCTGATGTGATGGTGTCGCTGGTTCCTCAGAAATATTCGGTATAGGTTGAGGTACATTTGCTAGGAGATTCTTAGTTGTGGAAGATATGAAGTATAGAGTATCTTCAAAGAATGTAACATCAGTACAAACTAAGTATTTCCTAGTTTTAGGATTCTAACACCGTTAGCCTTCTAAGTTCTTGAGTATCCTAAGAAAACACATTTTATAGCCTAAGGATCTAATTTTTCACGCCTTTTGTCAAGAACTTGAACAAAACAAAGACATCCAAAAACTTTTAAGAGGTTACCCTTTTTTATTTTTATTATTATACAACACAGATATAAGCATTTGACCATTTAATACAGTTGAAGGCACACAATTAATCAGATAGCAAGCCGTCAAGATGGCATCACTCCAGAAATATTTTGCTATATGCATATGAAGTAATATTGTATGTGCAATACCAAGAAGATGACAATTCTTATGCTTAGCAACACCATTTTGTTGTGGCACATGAGCACAATATATCACATGACTAATACCATGTAAGGAGCAATAATCTTGAAAAGCTTTTTGCATATATTTAACAACATTATCAGAGCGTAAAATTTTCAAAGAATAACCAAATTGTCTTGATCTCCTGATGACTCAAAATTGATAAAACCTCAAAACGATCTGTAAGAAAAAACGACTATGTCATACGAGAATAATCATCAATAAATGTCACAAAATAGGAACAACTTGAAAAAGATTTAAGATAATTAGGACTCCAAATATCTTTATGAATAATATCAAAGGCTTCTCTAGAAGCAAAGGTCCAATGATGCTTGGCATGAAGTACATTCTAATTTAGACACAGATTTAGTAGAAGGAATGATAGAATGCAAAGACCTAATAGATGCATGATTTAAGCAATTATGCCATCGAAGAGCAGAGACATCAATAGCAGCAGGCAGCAGCAACAATGTTACCAAACTGTCGACCAGTACGTTAGAGATAATACAGACTATCACATTCATACCCCCCATCGATCATCTTCTTCGTGTGAAGATCCTGAAACACGCAAGATGAAGGAGAAAGGGTTATGGATCAATTTAGAGGTTTTGTCAAATGACTAACAAATATAAGATTAAAAGGAACATCACGGACATAATTTACATTTGACAAAGTGAAGAGGTAGGTATAACTATGTCAGTGCCAAAAATAGTATGTGGGCGCCCATCAGTAAATAAGATAGAAGGTGAAGAATGAGATTCAATAAACTTAGAAAAATATGTGGATTTACCTATAAGATATGAATATGCGTCGGAATCAATAATCCACGAAGTGGAAGGTGTACTAGTAAGACAAGTAATACCTAGGTGGTCTAGAGTGGTAACTTCTTAAGTAGATATTTCTTGCACCTTCTGAAGTTGAGAATTGTACTCTTGACCTGCTCATGGAAACTTGCTCATCAGTTGAAGGTAAGTGGGCAATAGAAGATTCCTTCACAACTGAAGTAGATGAGCCACTCATCACAGATGCATGATTTATGAAGAGACTGTGACCACTCTAGTTTACTATGAAGCTCCCAACATGTCTTAACATAGTGATTAGTCCGCCTACGATGAGTACAAAAGCGTGAATCATTGCCTCGGTCACAATCACGTCCATCACGACCACCACGATTAGTATGTGCTCCTCGACCTCCTCGAGGAGCAAATCCATCATGACCACGAGAGGACTATGAAGATCTAATGGACAAGGGAAGTGCAGGAGTCTCAACAACTGGGGACTGTAATTGGTTCTCCACAACCTGAGAGAGATGAAAGAATGCTCCATGAAGAGGTGGATTACATAAGCTAAAAAGTGTCCTTGCAACAGTTTCAGTGTAGACTTCAAACCAAAAAGTAATTTGCAGACATAGATCCTCCCATTATTTCTTCAATCTCTGAATATCTATAGTCAGAGGATAATATTGGTTAAGGGGATCATGCATCCCCTTCAGCTGACTGTAGTACTCTAAATCATTGTCACCCGGCTAAATGTTAAAGAACTACTCATATGCATCAAAAACCCGCGAAATGTTTTTGCTTCATAGAATGTTTCTCGAACAGCTTCCCAGATCTCATTGGCAATACCAATAAAATAAAATGAGCAAATGTGTGTCTCCGTACTCCCCCATCGCCAAGTCATCATGTTCCTAATCTTCTTTAATATTCTCAACAGTGACTTTCTCGGCGTCCTTGTCATTAGTGGTAATAGCGAAGGGTCAGGTTTAGAGGACAATACCAACTTCAACTTCCCTTTGAAACTTTTAGTGGGTCAAGTTTAGAGGACAATACCAACTTCAACTTCCCTTTGAAACATTTAGTACGCACAAACAGATTTCTCCCAAATCAAGTAGTTCTTGCGATTAAATTTAATAGTGATGATTTGCAACTGATCACAGTCCTCTTTGGTAGTAGCCATAAAAAGTAGTAGTAATATAACAAAGCAGCAACTAGTAGTAGATGATCATAAAATAAATAACTTATATCATGAATAGTCTCATCTCAGCTAATAGTGATTAAATATTTCCGAGTCTGAGAACAACTTCAAATCTAAGGGCAATTGCAGATGACGAAGCTAGGGATGCAGTAGAGTAGGTGAAGGGGATTTGGAGAGAGCTACGAGGTCTGGATCTGAGGCGTTTTCAGTTCTGGATCTGAAACAATGAAATTCAGCGAGGTATAGATCTAAGGCAACAAGGTTCGATGAGGTTTAGCAAGATTTGGTGAAGTCTGGAGGTGTTCGTCGCAACAGAAGATGGAGGAGGTAGAGTTGACAAATCTAAGGTGGCAAGGTCTGAGGATGCAAGGGAAAGGTCGGATCTTTACAGTACTGTCCACACAATTACTCTTCACGCTATGAGTAGTAGTAAGGTGTTGTTTGCATAATGAACAGTAAATAAAGATGTTCGCATGCTGAACAGTACAAAGGGCTGTTCATGCGATAAATAGTAACCTAGGGAAAAGGTCGTTGCAGCGAAATTATGGTTTTGCTCCTTGGAGGAAGGGGAGGGTGATTAGGGCGTGACTAGGGTTTCATAACATGCTTTAATGTTATGGGAAAAAGTGACTTGATCCCATTGTGGGTCAGTCCTCTTTATGATATTGATAGATAGTTCAAGATTACACGTGCACCCGATGTTGGACTAAAACACTTAAACAAATAAAATACTCTACTACTCTAATATTAATTATTTAGTTGTACATGATTTGAGTGCTTACATCCACAGACTCTACATATGTGCGTGAGCATGCATACTTGCCTCACGGATATACCCGCTGCTGAATTGCAGAAAAATTCTGCCTCAAAAGTGTTGTATAGGAATACTTTCTTATAATAATGTATCTAACATTATACAAGTCATTTGTACATCTTGGAAAGAAAAAGAACGAGGATCTGTGCTGATCATGAGGTTATTGAGTAATAGTTTAAGAACTGACATGAAATTCCAGATTGAATATAATTACAGTTTACAAATTTATTTTTATTGGATATGCTTTCAGACATTGAAAGCTATCAAGGTTTCTTGCTTTTTTCCCATCTTGGTGACATCACAGATCTGTTTTACCTGGGTACTTCTAACTGAAGCCATACTCGATAGGCACACATACACGTACCTATACCCAAATTGCTCAGACATTTACATTTATTCGAAAGTTAAAACATTTCCCATACACTTCGTGGACTCATATCCTACACTTCATATCCCCTTCTTGAAGCTCGTTGGACATAGGTCTTGTCTTGAACTATTATTTTAAATGATCATGTAGGTGTCATGTTCAAAAAATAATGATATTTAAATTTATAATCCACATAATAAAAGAAACATAAAAATATTATGGGAATTTTAATTCTCATAACACATGAATGAAAAACATTATTGATCTCATGTAAATTATTAATCTCAATATGTATGTGTGTGCGCCCGTGTGCACATGAGCCGACGTGTGCATGGGCACAAGCGCAGGCGTGTGTGAACATTTATAATAGCTGTGTCCCCATACTCTACCTTTTATAAATTTGTGTCATGTACCCATCCCGACACCTATACCCCTACCCGTTTGCGTGCAACTTAGTTATACTTTTAGAGAAAAATATGAAACTTTCACCTTCTTCATGCAAAGTTCGAAATGTATCATTGGCATAACCAAGTTACCAACAAATAAGTTCCAAGTAGTTCGTCCATGATTACTATGTTAGTACACTGATACAAGACATCTGGTGTTGTATCAAGCTTAGTCATATTTCAGGTCACTTCTATATTGCAAGTCCTTCCCGTAGCTTCTAACTCAGCCCGAAATCTGCTGGATCTGGTGAGGTCATCATTGGGCTGCATTGTTAGCCATAGTACATTGAGGATATGCATCATTTGATTCTAGTTTTCCTCCTTTAGGTTGTGTGGATACCCTAAGATATGAAACCAGCACAGTAGATGAGACACTCCCCCTCCCTTTCTACTTTTCCAGTTCTCTTTGTTCTCATCATCTCCTTTTATCCTAGTCATGCAAATTCCATTAAGTTGCACCAGCACAAAATAAGAAACTTTCTCACCAAAGCATAAAAGGTTGTGAGTTCACGTTTTCATCATTGTTGGTAAAATCAATCTTGCCGCATAGGCATCATAGACATTTATAAGCTGATTTACTGTAGTTTTTTGCGGCTAATCCCAATTTTGGTTTAACAGTGCATCCCAATAGGGGACTGTAGGGTCACAAAACTCACGCAAGAGGTACTGTTCCTAACGAATGGATAGGCTTACAAATAATTTAATTTGGGTTTGTACCCTAGAAATCCCCTCTACGAAAATAAAGGTTTATTAATTATAGGGTTTGATATCTCTAATAGAATCGAAACTATTGTTAATGAAACCTTTGGTTAACAGGTTACAGGTTTTATAGATTAACTCAAATTTAGAGATAATAATGATAACAAAAGAAAGACATTGTGGACTTTCTGATGTGGGGAGGCTTTCACATCAAAAAGTACATTTTTATTGAAAGATAGAGAGGACTTTTCTATCGGAAATGGAGTTTAAGTTTAAGTTTTTTCAGTTTGAAAACAATTTCAATTGTATAAATTTAAATTTTTTTATTTTAGTTTTGTGATAATGCTGTCCGTTTTATTTGATTTTAGTTTAGGAACGTTTTGGCCCATATATTTGATAGATTAGGGACACTGTGGTCCACAGGTTCTCTCAGTTTAGAGACATCATTGGTAATTTGATATTATTTAGTTTTTAGTTTAGGGGTTTACAGTCCATTTGATATGATTTTAGAATTTTAGTTTAGTGACATTACAGTTAAAAAAAAATCTGATTTCTAGAATTTTAGTTTTAAGGACGTTACAGTCCATTGATTTCACTTAAGATTTTAGTTTAACGTTACTGTCCATTTGATTTTATTTTAGACATTACCCAAAATTTGCGTTGTTGTGTTAGGGACATTTGTGATTTTTTATTTTTAAAGTTTTGGGATGTTTTGGTTCGTAATTTGAAATTCTTTTAATTTGCTTTAGTTTGAACTTTTTGGTCTATAATTTGCGAACTTCGAAATTTTGTTTAGTTTATGGACTTTCTGGTCTAGTATTTGTAATTTAGTTCCATTTTGTAATTTCTACTTTACTTTGACCATTATCTGGTTCCTCTGTTTTGGCTCGTCTCTGTTTCGCAATGCGGGACATTATTGAAGTCATTATTAGCTATTTACATGTTCTGGTCACGTACAAAATGTGATAGCTATTAATATGTTATGATTGATTGTGGTTGTTTTCCTTAATTATAATGTATCTATGACTAAGAGTTTTTACGCCTTGATAAATACAAGTAACATATACTCTCTTTCTTCATACTTTTTCATTTGCATCCAACTCCGTCAAATTATCAACTTCGGTACCCGACTTCTGGATGTGGACTTGCTAGATACTCTTATGATCTTATCATGTATCCTTGTCTGAGCTTAAAAAGTTAAAAGATAAAAAAAAAACGTAAATGGTAGATTCACATCCTAGTTAATTTCTAGATGCATTTATAAAACTTTCTAACTTTCTGATGAGGACTTAATTATTATTTTAGTGATTACTGGTTCATCTCATTTGCAAGTACTTCACATTACTTGAGCTATTTTGTTTGTAAAACCATTTGGCTCTGACAAATCTATATTATAGATGGACAACGCCAATCCAAAAATGTACAGTGTTATTTTTCTTTTCGTATCCAAGAACATACAGTGTTACTTTTCTTGTCGTTTGTAATGTATTCATACTTGTGCGTGCGCTCACGTGTGCTTATGTGTGTGCTTGTGTCCATGTGCATATGTATGCCACTTTGCATGTGCAATATTGCTCCTTCCTTTCTTTATTTCAAAAGGCTTTTCTATTGTTAGCAACAATACCTCTGAAGTACTTCTGAAGCTTATAATATTTTAATAAAATTATACATCAGAGAAGATTTTTCTGCTATAGATGCAATAATTAAAAATAAATATATTTTCCTCCTGCGCTTAAATTCTCTTTTTACCCTTTTGGAGTGCGAGATACTCCTATGTGATCAATATTCTCGTTTTTCTTGACTAAACTAATTGCAAAATGTTCATACATGAATCAGGTTGCTAGAGGGTTTTCAAGAGGAGCATTTGAGGTGAAACCATTTTCTGAAGGGAATCGAGATAATGACCAAAAAGTAGCTATTTCCAGATTAAGACCTACAGGAGCTAGATCTTACATTCCAAATACTAAATTAACTCTCTTCCCCATAAAAAAATGGAAAAATCGTGGAAAATGAAAGATCGATCCTGGGTTACCTCTCATGCTTGTGTTTTTTTCTCTGGTAAGAAACGCAGAATAAGAAGATCTGTATGTTGGTCCCACGATTCTGCTACCTCTCATGCTTAATGGAATCTTGACTGTATTTATTTCATTATAATTGAGCCTAACATTGTTGTTGAAATCGCTTGCCCAGGGATTTTTTTTTTTTCGAGTTTTCGCAATTGAAGTTTTGAAATTGCCGGCATGTGTTGGGCTTAGGCTGAACAGTTGAAACTTTTTTGGCTGACTAAAAATCTTTGTCAGCATGGGCAAGTTGGGCTTTTGGTTGATTAATGTCTTGTAGGGTGAAGAGAAGACAATGATCAAACGATGTACTAGACCAACCAAAAGTATATATTATATTGAGCATATGAGTAGGTGCCAAAAAAAAAAAAAACTGTATTCTGATTTGGAGACAGCCTTTCTTCTTCATTTTATTTATTAGTTATTTTTTTATTTTGTATTATTATTATTATTATTTTGTTGTTGTGCTTGCTGCGTGGGTTGCGCCTACAACATTACCATGTATCTCATCCGGGACATGAAGTAGGCATCAAAATCTTGGCCAACCCTGATAAAAAGAGAATGACAATATACTGAAGTCTTCCTTTGTTAATATACCTCTCACCACGTACGTACAGATTGTACAATCTCCAAAGAGTTTTTACCTTCTGTCAATTGGAAGCTGTCACCAAAATCGCAGCTCCTATAAATTGAATGTCAAACTCTGTGCCGTGTTAAATTCATATAATGAGTTCATATATATTGTAACCAGAAGCTCCCAAATGCATATCGTCCACCCGAAACAATCAAGTTACACAAACCACTTTGACAATGAGCAGGCGAAATCTCGCTGCTGTATTTGGACTATGAAGCTCATTTGTTTAGCTACATAGGGTGTAAAAAACACCAAATGAAAACAGTACAAGAACTACTCTCCACAGTCGGAAGCTTTTAGGTAAACACTATGTACAAAGACCAGGGCAGAAGATCACAACAAGAACATGCTTTTATGTCATTTTACAAGTTTTTAACCTCACATGCATCTTATAGAAGTTAGCACTTAACTTGATTCTTTGAACCAGTCTGTAAACTCTTCTGAAGAGCCAAAACCGAGCTTTCAAAAGAGCAAAATATGTACTTACAATCCTACATCGACGGCATCAACAGCGTACTTGGGGTCTTTAAACTGCCTGAAGATGCTCTCTTCTGTATCCTTATCATGTTCAGTTCCATATTTCTCTTCACCATATCCTGGAGCAATCTCTTCGCGGTCTTCTCAGCTTTCTTTCTGCCATCAACCTTTGTAGCAATACTATAAGCAATCGTCTCCAAGTCTTGCGATGCTTCTCTCTTAGTCTGAGAGTTATCTCTCAGAAGATCTAGAAGACTGTGAGCTTTATGCTGGGCAATCATAGAGCCATCCACAGTTAGCAGCAGAAGTCCTGGGATGGGTCCTTCATTAAGGATAATCTCCCTGTACTTTTCTCTACAGCTCCTACACAATGAGTAAAGAATGCTAACTGCATGTTCTGTGCTTAGTAAAGAACCCTCTTCAATAGTCTCTACCAGAGTTAAAATCCCGCCGTCTGTTTCAGAGATTGAGAGCAATCCTTCATCGGATTTAGAAAGGATTTCTAGCAAAGATGTAGCCTTCTCGGCAAACTTTGAGTATTTCTTGGATTCCTTCAAAAGGGTGAGAAGAGGCCTAGTTGCTTCAACTGAGAGGGTGAGGTTAGATTTCTCTGCGCAATTAGACAGGTTAAATAAAGCTGTGACAGCATCGACCCTGCCTTGGATGCTTCCGGAGATAAGGGTTTGGACTAGAAGGGGTACGGCTCCAGAGGCGATGATAGTTGGTCTGCTAGAAGTTGAAGCTGAAAGGGTGAGGACTGCAGCAGTAGCTAGGTCTCTGAGATTGTTGTTCTCAGATTTGAGCAGTTCTATGAGGCAGGGGATGGCGCCACTCTTCACTATTACTTCCTTATTCCTGAGATAATACGTAAAATAAAGGTGACATGTAGGAAAGCAGAAGAATTGAAATAATTTTATGATCTTTAACTGTTGAAAATAAGTCCATCAAGTAAGTTAAAGATAATTGAGTTATGAATCACAAATAATGATAAAGAAATCGTGAAGCCGGCCTCCTTTCATCCCTCTATTTGGTTAAGATCTTATTCATCTGTTCCTGGAACTATGTGGCTTGTTTTTAGTTTACTAAAGACTTCAAGGAAACTTGATGTATCTCATCCAAGAAAATCACAACCTATGCCCATAAGATATGAGGATGAAGGAGAAAAGCATGTGGAATTTAAAACCAAATGATCATCTAAGTTCAATATGAAAAAATATAAATTTGAGAATGTTTGTCTTTTAAAAGGATAATGTGGTGGTCATGTTATAAGTTCTTCTAGACACCCACATATTATGTCACATATAGTGAAATTTGTAAAACATACTATCATATGTAGCATATACAATAGTAGACTCTTACAACTATGAAAATTATTCAAACATAAAGAGTAAATGTCAAGAAGAAAACCCTTTGACACCTGCACTACAGAAAAACTACTAGATTTTTTTAGCACTTTTTGCACTAGGAATATCCATGCTGTTGAAACCTTGAAACGCTGGTCCTTTTCCTTAATTATTATACTACCATTTATGTTATAGTTAGTACAAATATTAAATAATCTGCACAAATAACTATTTTAAGTAAATCCCCCCCGCCCCCCCCCCCCCCCACCCGCCGCTGCTGGGTCCCCATTATCACACACAAACAAGTCTACAAAGGAACATCATTATGCATGGAAAAAGTGTCATGTGCGGCACGTACTTGACTATTTTGCCTGAGATGACACTCTTCATAATGGGAGTGCTCATGGTTCATAAATACTCTACTGATAGTAATTAGCTATTTTTTGATTTCTGCTGATAGTGGATTGCAATATGAATTAATACTCATTGTACAAATTTAGTTGACCTTCATTGACAACAAGAAGTTATATAAATGTTTCGTCCAGCTATGTCAAAGGCTCGAAGCCTAGTATCATGTGTGTTATTGCCTCTATTTGTGTTCTTTTAGGTTACACTTAATTCAACTCAACTAGCATGAACTAGGTACTTATTTCCATTCACATCTTCCACTCTAAAATAAGTTTGCCTATTTACCCCCCTCAAACTATGTATATATGTTCAATGTGGCCATTTGTGAGCCCACAATCAAATATTTGACAGATCAATGACGTGAAAGTGTATTTTCTTAACATTTTCTCACGAGTTTTTAACAGTTTGCCTCGTTTTATCCCTACCCATAAAATTTCCCAACTACTTTCCGTCAAACCTTTTTACCCTTTATTCCTAGGAATTGAAAAAAAAAAAATTTAATTGCAAAAAATACAAGAAATGCAAAAAACCACTGTCACATCTTGATATGCTGAATACTTGACTGTGAGCTATGTAGATGACAATATTAATACACATAGTTTAAGGGGGAAAATTGACAAATTGATACTTTAAGGGGAAAGTTGAGAGCTCACCAATACTTTTAAGGGGGGTTTGGCCACTTTGTCCTACTTTTTATAAAGAAAGCCTAGAAAGTCCAGTTTTCGATTTCCTATATATTCCTTAATACTATAACCTAAAGTACTTTTTATAAAGAAAGTCTAAATGCTTTTGTTTTCGTGTATTTCTTTTAGCCATAGTTTGAAGCATAGTTCAATAATGACGACATTCCGTATCCATACCAATATATACTAGTCAATACCAATACATGTCAGTCGTATAATAATGGAGGCCAATACCTTGATAATGGTCACCAAAAACTTAAAAGCTTACATTTATTTGCTAATAATTAGTGATGAATGAAAAATTTAAGCTACTAATCCTGTAATATTGTCCTATATTAGAAATAAGAATTAGGATTATTTGCACTTAAATACCCTATTACTCAATTTTTAACTTTGAAACTCCAAAGTTTTTTTGACCTGAACAACACCCTAAAGTTCAACAAAGTTTAACTTTGATATCCTCATTTATTGATATAATCAGTTTGGTTTCAACTCTTGCAGCTTAGCTTGTATCTAGGGACATAAACTTCCTTTCCACTTAATAGTAACAATTCTTTTTGGTTAGTTTTTTTTTCATAATAAGCATCCTCGTTACCTCAAGCATTGTTATGATAGGTTGCTCTCTTGCTTCAAGGATGTTTGTGCAGTCTCAAATTGCCAAAATTGCTCTTTTTAATCTCCTTTAATTGTATTAATTTTCAACACTGTTTTTTATCGTCTTCTTCAATTATATCAATTAACATGGTTATCAAAATTAAACTTTGTTGAACTTTGGGGTATTATTTGGGAAAAAAAGGCATTAGGATATCAAAGTTAAAAATGGGGGGAGTACTGGAATATTAAGTACAACTAATCCTAAAAGGACATCTCAATGTATGAAGCTCCCGCTATGCACAAGGTCTGGGAAAAGGTTAGACCACTTTAGGTCTATTGTACTCAGCCTTACCTGACATTTTTTATAAGAGGTTTCCGAACTGAACCTGTGACCTCTTGGTCATACGACGAGAACTCTTATCATTGCGCTAAGTCCCTTCATATGAAGACAATATTTTAAAAGCTAGCGCCTAGCCTACCTAGGTGTCCGCCTAGCCTTGGCAATACCTAAGCCACCCGCCTAGGTCTTGAATGTGCCTAGGTGAGTGCATGCCACTTACATGGGCTGCACTGCTTAGGTCTTGGTCCTGATTTTCTCTGTTGCTTCCTCTAAGTCCTTCTACCTCCTCCAAATTCCTTCGACCTCCTATAAACACCTTCACCTCCTCCAAACTTCAACAAGACCTCCACCACCACTTAAACAAAGATAAGTGTTAGTCCGGCGCTTAGAGGTGCCTAGCATTTTTCGTAACATTAAAATATATTATTAATTATTATAGCTAAAAAAGAGAAAATTGTCTTGTCCCCCCCCCACCTAAGCACCTAGGCTCTAGGCGTCGGGTCTGACACCTAGACTGTCTAATGCTTTCTATAATATTGTATGGAGATTATCATCTCATTTTCGGATTAACCCACCACGTTGAGACATGTTGCCACTCCTAAACACCCTCTAAATTTTCCCGCTAAAACAACTTGATGGCATTTAATTGAATATTTTCTCCATAAAAAATGTATAGTCAATTAGCAACATGCCACAATAACGCATGAGTTCAACCTAGTGTTATACCTAATTCGTGATCTTTCAAATCATCGAATGCTTATTATTCATTAAATAACATCATTAGCATGTAAACTTATAAAAGCGGGTGGTTCATACTCATCAACATACATGAAAATATCAAGTATGATTACTAATAAATACTTCATAATGCAATCTTTACTTCTCTCTAAGAAAATTTTTCTCTCGTATTAAATTCCCCTACTAAGTGACATTGTTCGTTCATATAAGCCTATGGATCTAATTCCCTGACGCAATACTCTCTCCCTCCTGATGATATGTTTGCCACTTTTTCAGATGCATTATACATGCTTGGTAACTAAATAGGAAACACGACATGTGGCGCAACATGGAACAATTTTGGTTGATTCTCAAAATGTTCAATAATCTCATATTTGCATGGAGATGCCAAGCATGTATCTTCTCCCCACAGAAATCTATTTAACTTTAAAACTAAAATTGGAGGATTTCTTCCTACATCCTTTCGAAGTTTAGTGATTTTCTATTTATGCCTTGTTTGGTACACGAGAATTCATTCAAGTGAGAATGGAATGTATATGTATGAGAACGGAATGCTCAATCTCATTCTATCATTTGGGTGTGATTAGAGAATGAAGTGGGAATAACAATCTTTTTTATTTTTGGTATGGATAATCGATAAGCAATCAAGACATCTGGAATTTATTTCAAAATTTTCATTCTCATTTAAGTGAGAATGCCCATTCCGTATCATATGAGAAGTGAAATGGGCATTCTAACTTCCACAAAGAAGTTGTGTTCGGTACGCATGGATGAGAAGTGGAAATGCACATTCCATTACCAATTATTTCCGCGTACTAAGGCGTCAAGAGTTCCCCCCTCTAAAAATGGCAATCAATGTGATTTTTGCATTAAATGTTGTAATTTGTCACATAAGTGGGTAATGAGCGCCAACCATGACCACATTAAGTATGAGCTTTAGTGAATATATTAGGTTGACATCCAAGATTTTTCCTTTTCTATTGTAATTTTTTTCATAAGGGAAATTTTTAGATGGAGATTTTATTCAAAAGCACTGAATGCGAGAAGTCTGTTGTAATCAGCTTGAGAATTGTAATATATCTTCCATGACAACTTTTCGACAACCCATGGCCCCTCCTATTCAACGCTTTCATGCTCAATATCAAGCGAATAGCGAAAATTTAATCTTAAACAAGAGCTTTATCTTTATGTTACTAATAACCATGCGAAGATTAGATTAGTTCAAACAATTGATTATTTAACAATATATTATCCTAATAAGGAATTTAAATTTTCAATTATCATTCGAAATTTTCTAATCAAATATTTTTCATAATTATTTGTCTTCAAGATAGAGGGAATAACTTAAACCAATAAAGCTGCTAAAGCCTCTTTCTTGAATACATATAGGGATGCAAACGGGTAAATGTGAATAAATCAGTACTTATGTACGCTAAGATATTAATACAAATACTACATACTACATAGGATCGAGATATTGATACAAAGATGATATATTAGTAAAATATTAGGGTTCGTATCCGAACATCTAAAGATAGTATCCATTATATAGTAGAAATTATTTTGACCATTAGATTAAAGGATATTGGGCCAATTTTAATGACCAAAGAATCTAATCACAACTTTGGTAATACATCGAATATATTAATCAACTCTCGCTAGAGAAATTTATTAAATTTAATCATCTCTTGCAACTTGCACCACATGAGCTGCATATTTTTCAATCTTATATGTTTTCCTCATATCCGTTTGCATTCGTATATATTTCCTCTTATAATATTTATATATGTATTTAATCTTGACATTATAACTATGAGTTTTCCTTACATAACCTTATTCGTAATTTTATCCTTCATTGAAATCACTAAATAGGTATAGATACGATGAGTATCAAATATGATTTGTATTTGATCCATTTACACCCAAGTTAGAGAGCGAGGGGGGAGGGGGGTGGAGAGAAGCAGAAATGGAAAGATAGGAAAAAAGGAAAGGATAAACAAGAGGACTTGTTTAGGTAACTAGATCCAAGTGATCATAAGACATCACCTTTCTAATAAATTCTTGCCTCAACACAGTAAATTACAAACAATCAACAAAAAGAAACGATCTGATATTTCCAAATCTAAAAGGAAACTTTTACAAAGTCCAAAGCAAGATCTTTATCTCTTATTTCTCATATCTCTTATTTCTCGTGACCATATTGAATAGTGCAAGCAACACCGACTATTAACAAGTTGATTGACAAAGGCGAGCATGGAAAGGAGCGGATCAACAACAATGGTGACAACAAAAACAAAATTTTGTTTCCTGTACACCATGTTTCACAATTACTCATCTTTGAGACAAAGGAAACAACTGACAAAGATATCCAAAGATAAATCATTATTTCTGTCAGATAATATATGAATATGGATGCTATATATCTATATCCCACAGTATATAGATATACATACAGACATGTGAGTAAAATAGCGGGTTCATATCCGAATATCTAAATATAATGTATCAATCATAACAAGTGAAATTGTTTTGACCATTAGCTTAATGGTTATGAGGTCAAATTTGATATAATATATTGACATTAGAAATCAAATATACTGAATTTACTCTCATTAGAGAAATTTATTATATCTAATCATCTCTTGCATTGGATGACGTATATATTTTTCAATTTTGTATGTTTTCCTCATATCTTTTTGTAACTGTGTATATTTCCTTTTATAAGATTTGCATCCATATTTAATGTTAAAAAATATGACCTTACCGAACCCTATACTTATTTGTATCCTTATCGGTAACTAGTAAATGGATAGAGGTGTAGTAAATCTCAAATTTGATCTGTATCAGACCAGTTTGCACTCATAGTCAGGAAAGAGGGAAGCATAAAGGGAAACTTAGGAAAAAGAGAGGATAAATAATAACATTCATTCATTTATCCAAATCCAAGCCAACCACAATAAACCATAAGACATCAAAGTTTTTGACTTCTTTCCTTTGATAATTAATTCTTGCCTTGAGAGAATAAATTACAAACAACCAAAGCGTAGAAACAATCCAATATTTCCAAATGTAAGTGGGAACTCCAACAAAGTCCTACCTGAGAAAATCCTAACCGGGAGCCCGTGTTATCGAGGTGTAAGGCGCAATGTGGGGCGCAAAGATCCCTTACGCGCACCATGCGCAAGGCGCACAAGGCGCGTGCCTCACTAATTGAGGCGCATAACTCAAACTAATATTTGCCAACATCATAAGATAAAAACATATAAGCAACATATTAGTTACCTACATCCAAAATTATGAGAATATCAACTTAAATCATCAAATTATGTTAACTGGATTTTTAAAGTAACAAAAAAGATACAAGAAACATGTATTTAAATCATCAAATTAAGTGATTAACAATTATGAGCATATGTTTATAAATTGTCACATAAATAGACTAAGAAATATAATTAACAAACATGATTGTTCATAATTTTTTAGTTAGTATTCTTAATTGATATTTGTTACTTAGCATGAAAAGATAAAGAATGAATGTAACAATTACATATTTACATGTTCATAATTTGCTAGTTAGCATGCTAATTAGAGAAGGAAGTTACAATTAGCAAACAAATATACTAAATTACTAATTATTGTTTCCTTTTTATATTAGCAAACAAATATACTAAATTACTAATTATTGTTTCCTTTTTATAGGTTAAACATGAAAAGATGAAAATAGATTAACAACTAGTAAGAAAGAGTATATTACCTGATATAAATATGTAATTATGTAAATTATTTAAAAAAAATAGAAGAAAGAGTATGTCACATAACGCAGGTGCGAGGCGCACGTGAGGCTCGCGCCTCATTGCGTACAACGCCCCGCCTCGCGTGCGGGGTGCATTTCCCCCAGGCCGAAGCGCCCCGCGCCCGGGGCGCGCGCCTCAATAAGCCTGCCGGGAGCTTTACCCTTCATTTCTCACGGCGAGATCAAACGGCATGATCAACACCGACTCCTTGCCAGTCGATTGACAGAGGAGAGCATTGAGATGAGGGGGTCAATGACTGTGACGACAATGAAAGTGAAAATTTTTTCTCATCACTATCTTTTCCACAACTATTCATCTTCGAGTCAGATAAAATATCTTAATCAGCAAAGCTGCTAAGACCTCTTTTTTTTACTACAATTATTAGAAGTGTAGATGCAAACGGATATGGATATGGATAAGAATATGGATATCAAATATGTACACCCCATAGGATGTGGATATGGATACGGATACGAATACCAACATACGTGTAAAATAACAGTGTTTATGTCAGACTATCTAGATATAATGTTTGGCGTATCCATACAATAAAAATTGTTTTGACAATAAAAATTGTTTTGACCAATTAGCTTAATGGATGTGGGGTCAATTTTGACGATCAAAAGATTTAATCTTATAGCTTTTCAAAAATGTCAAATATATCAATGGACCCGCATTAGAAATTTACTATATCCAACTATCTCTAGCATAAAATAATCTATATATTCCCTCTTATACGATAAACGAGAAAAGGGGAAGGATGAACGAGAGCATTCATTCATCTATCCAGATTCCAGTGTGCTACAGTAAACCATAAGACATCAAGAGTTCTCAATTTTTTTGCGCTTACATACACGATAAGTTCTTACCTCAATGCGATGAATAGTATAATCAAAAGATAGAAAAACCGTCCAACACTTCCAAACTCAAGAGGAGGCACTCACAAAACCCTAACCGAGAGCTTTACCTCTCGTTCCGCACGGCGAGATTGAGCAGCGCGAGGCAAAAGCGATCCTTGGCCAGCGATCGACGGAGGCAGCATGGAGACGAGGGATCGACGACGTCGGCGACAGCGAAGGCGATCGAGCCCTAGCGGAGGCCCTGACGATCTTCCGAACGTCCCTCGCCGCCTCGATTCGGCAGAGGATCGGCGCCGGCGAGCTTGAGGGAGAGCTCGTGGACCAGAGCCTGCTGGTCCCCTCGATTGCGGCCGGCCCTAGGGCTAGGGCTTTTAGGGTTTTGGCACATTCTTTCGTCCCCCAGGGTTTCGTTTCCTCCAACAATTTTTTATTTTTTATTTTTATTTTTATTTCCCCCCTCTCACTCACTCTCTCTCCTCCTCGAGATTTCGCGGGAGAGGGGCGAGAGAGACAGGAGGCATATAGCTCCGAGGGATCGCGATGGATTTAGTGAAGATATACTGGCGCATAGTTAAATCTGTGGGGACGGAGGTATAGAATCGTAATTTTATAGGGTAGCGTACGGAGGTTGCTGAGCTTTGTAGGTAACGCAACTGAAGTCGAGCTTTTCCTAATTTGGTTTTTTTTTTTCCTCTATAATAGCAGTTCATTTTCATGGCTTCCGCTGTAGAAGTGACATTCTTATTGGGTCCCATGATTCTTAAGTTATTTTGAAATTGGCTAAATACCAATATTGGTATTTTAATTCAACCTCATTTGTCAAGAAGGTATTTTAAATAAAAAAATCGGCGTTAAGGTATTTTAATTGATTAAAATTACCAATTAGGTCATTTTTCTCGTCGGCGACCACTTTTCCGGCGAGAACTCGTCACGTGCGTGACACGTGATGACTTAATCTGTATAAATACTCATATTGGTATTTTAATTCAACTCAATTTGCCAAGAAGGTAGTTTAAATAAAAAATCGGCATTAAAGCATTTTAATTGATTAAAATTATCAATTAGGTCTTTTTGCTTGTCGGCGACCACTTTTCCGGCGAGAACTGGTCACGTGCATTTTAATTCAACCGGTTTTCTGACGTGGCAGTGGCAGGAAGAATAAGAGTCGATGCATTTTAAAATCCCCCATTTCTAAAATTGGTAAAAAAATTAGCGAAAAAATCGTGGAGAAATTACCGTATAAATAGAACCTCTTTCTCTTGCATCGATCCATGGCCGCGCCGGTGGCAATCTAGTCTGCAGTGATCTTCGTCTTCTCACTTTCTTCTCTCCGAATTCCCTTGGCGTTTTCTTCTAGAAGTTCCTGGAATCGGGGGTTTTGGCTGCTTCTGTTAGCGGTAAAGGTAAGATAATTGAGTTGGATCTGAGATCTGGAGTGAATGCGTGGAAGTTTGATCTTTGTTTTGAAATTTTTAGGGTTCAGGTTGGTTCGTTTTGGACTTAAATTGTGATTAAGCCACATCAGCAGCTAAAACCGAGCCACATCAGCAAACCGAGCCACATCATCAGCTAAAACACAGATTAAGTCATCACATGCCACACACGTGACGAATTCTCACCGGAAAAGTGGTCGCCGACAAGAAAAAAGATCTAATTGGTAATTTTAATCAATTAAAATGCTTTAATGCCGATTTTTTATTTAAAATACCTTCTTGGAAAATGGGGTTGAATTAAAATACCAATATGAGTATTTATACAGATTAAGTCATCACGTGCCACGCACGTGAAAATGGGGTTGAATTAAAATACCAATATGAGTATTTATACAGATTAAGTCATCACGTGCCACGCACGTGACGAGTTCTCGCCGGAAAAGTGATCGCCGACGAGAAAAAAGGACCTAATTGGTAATTTTAATCAATTAAAATGTCTTAACGCTGATTTTTTTATTTAAAATACCTTATTGGCAAACGGGGTTGAATTAAAATACCAATATGTGTATTTAGCCTTTTGAAACTGGTACTTCACATTATTTATCCCAATCAAGAGTAGAATCGCAATTTGGTGGACTAATTTGAAGCAACTTTATGAGAATGGGCGGATCTACTAGTAATTTCGGCGATTTTGAGAGGCTGGTTTCAAAATTACTAAGGCACTGTTTGGCAACAAAAAAATGTGTCTTATCTAAGAGCTTGTGTCTTATTGACTTGGTCAATAAGCTAGTAGAGCTGTTTGGTGACCAAAAATAGGAGGAGATTATTTTGGAGATTGTGTCTTTTGCAAGTAGCTTTTGGAAAGCTACCTCAAGTAGCGTTTGTCTTTGGGAAGGAGCTGTTAATTTTTTTCTTCCGTTTTTACCCCTAATAATTCTAATTTTATATCAATAATATTGCATGACCTTTTTAGTCATTTAACAAATTTAAGCTAGTTGTACAGCTTCTTTTGCCAAACAGCTCTAGTCAATCAGCTAGCTACACAGCTATCGGCTTTTAGCTACAATTTCACAGCTTTCAGCTAGCTTGACAGCTTTCAGCTATAATCTCGCAGCTTTCAGCTAGTTTTGCCAAACAGAGCCTAAGAACTTGGGCATCTAATAGCAGCAAGTTCAATGATTTGAGGCGCTAATTTCGAAATACAAATGATACAAGAAACTAGTTTAGAACTAACTTAAGAATTGGGAAGACCTATCGCAATGACAATGATCTCGAGGCTAACTGAAAATATGAAAGATCTAACGCTTCGTTTGGTACGCGGGAGTGAACTCAAATGAGAATGGAATGGAAGAAGGAATTGAATGGAATTAATGTGAGAATGAAATAGTCATTCTCATTCTCACGTTTGGGTGTAATTTATAAAATAAAGTGGGAATGGACGTATGTTAAAATTGTATATTTTATTGATTCCCATTTAAGTAGGAATGCTCATTCCGTATCATTTCATTGGGAATGTTCATTTCCATATAAAGTGGGAATTGATGAGAAGTGGGAATGAGCATTCTAACTTCAAAAAAGAGGGTGTGTTTGGTAGGAATGAATGAGAAGTGAGAATGACCATTTCATTCCACCCCATTCCCGCGTACCAAACGAGGCCTAAGTTCCAAATATCGAAAAGAAAACCCTTCTTAGTCCTCACGTGTCTTTGCTCATTTTGTGAGATGCTTCAGTACGGATGATAAAATCAAAATTAAGATCTCTCACTTTGTGAGAATAATGCAGGATCATGTGATTTTTCTGCTTTATATTAATAAAAAAAAGCTGCAATGGTATAATGCTGCGACCAGTATATAATCAAATTTGATATATTCTGATTGTTCCTTAGGATAATTATATCTAGCCCGTAACTAATAAAGTTTGGTTATTGTTACGAAGAGAATTAAATGTTTTGAAAGGATAATTCTCAAGGATACACAGTTTTATTTTCAGCTTGCAGGCTATAAGCGGTAGCACAAATTCATTATATTTTGTATTCCATGGTCAATGATCACTGAATAGTTGTTACACCAAGCACAGCCTATCCTTGACTTAAATGAAAAAGTAGAGAAAGTAAGAGATTAACGGAGTTTTCGAGAACAGGGAATTATGAATCGGAGCATTGATCCAAAGAGTTCCTTTTAACGGCATGATTGGTTGCTATTTTCCAAAATCGAATTTCTTTTAATTTTTTGTGTTTCCTTCACTTTTATGAAAAGTGTTTCTTGTGTTTGTTTTGTTAAAAAGCATGAGTTAAAAGCAATTTTCACCATTTTTCTTGGTTTGATTCAACTTAAAAAAATAATTGATGTGTGAATAGATTCTTTTATTTTCTAGTGTCTGGTTCAAACAAAATTGTTGGAAACAAAAATTAAGGGGTCAACATATTTACCATCACACAAAACGTTTAAAGATTTGAGGGACTAATTTGCAAAAATGTATAGAGATTAAGATAGTAATTTGCAAAAATTAAAAGTTTTGGGGAGCTAATTTCAAAATATGAACATTGACGAAGAAATTTCAAAACGTTTAAAGATGTGAGGGACTAATTTGCCATCTCTATAAACCTCCAACGTGTAAATAATATCACAGGTAATAATCAAAATTAATGTGTCAATTATCATAGTGTTAAATTAATGTTAATTCAAAAACTTTGGAATATCAATATTGTCAAACTAGAAGTTTAGTGTATCAAAGTTATAAAAAGGGTGAAACTTCAGGTAATTAATGAAAAAAACGAAAATTTTTTCTATTTAAACCCATTCTATAATTTATTCTTTAAAATCGACCATATTCAAAGTTATTTATAAAAATCGACCAACTTTTTCGTCACGTCAGTATCATGACGAGAAAGTTGGTTGATTTTTTTTAATCTCGTTCCTAAATAGTCAGGATTGGCAACCCTGACTATTTAGGAGGTCGTCCGCTATTTAGAAGCCAAATTAGTCGGGGTTCGAAACCCCGACTAATTTAGTCAGTGTAAAAATGGTCGGGGTTGGGAACCCCGACCATTTCGGCATTGCCTGTCTATTCCGAAATGATCGGGGTTCCCAACCCCGACCATTTAGCAGGGACTTGTGCGAGTAGGGAAGTTGGGAATTGGCTAAGTCTCATAGTAGTAGAGGTTACCAACCCCGACTACTTATTCTAGTTCCCGCCCCCCTATATAAGCCACCTGAAACCTTTCTCCTCGAAACCCATCTCTCGCAGCCGCCTCACTCTTCTCCTCTTCCGTCATTCTCTTGCACTACAGGATCAGATCTCAATTTTCACCCTAGTTTTAGGCCGAAATTCGAATCAAAAGTTTATTCAAGATCTCTAGGTAATTTCTCTTCCTTCTCTCCTCTTTTAACATGTAGAAATCTAGGGTTTTCTCTCAAAATCGAATTTCTAGGGTTTTTTTTCTCTAGGTGGTTTGAATGCTTTATATGATGATTGTTATTGCTGAAATTAAACTTTTAGGGCATAAAATGCTCAATTCTAAGATTTAGGGTTTCCAATTTGGGGATTAGGGTTTTTTGTCAAAATTATATGAGATTATTTGCATATAGGGTTTTCCTCTCTTATTCGATGCCTTGATAATATTATTTAAATTTTTTACATTTAAATGATATAATCTTCTTTTGAATAGGTTGAACAATATAATTTTTATTGCTTGCTCTTATGGTAGGAAAATTAATTATGAAATAAATAATATGCCAACATATGTCGGAGGGGTAACGACGTCATTAATGATCTTAGAATCATATAGTTACTGTGACTTGATTAACAAATTACACAGAGTTATGGCAATTGACCCACGAGAGTACTGTCTAAGAATAATATGCAATTGGCCCATAATTTTTGATAGAAGGTCCGCAGTTGAGATCTCAAACGATCATCATATGAGTATTATGTTTAATTTGAGTAAGTCGCAACAAACGGTAGAATTGTTTATTGAAAAGTTACTATATAGTTCGTGCCAAATATTCAACCCTCGAGGAGAATACTCACTCATGTTAGATTTGGGAGTTGAGTCTGATGGTTTTCTTTCTTCTTCGAGTGAAATGGAGCGGACTCAATTTTAATATCATAGTG